TGATACATTCAATGCTAAAGCAAAGCCATGCATGGGTATCCAGTATTAGATCAAGATGAAGATTATGCATCAAAATTTTCTAAAATATTATAATAGAGTATGAATTATATTTTGACCGAAATGGAAATTGAGAAAAAAAATAAAAATATAAAACAGCGTTCTAACATAAATATTATGAAAAATAGAATAGTAAAAAATAAAAATATAAAAATACTACCAAATTCTGAATAATGGAGTTTTAATCATATAAAATATGGTAATACATAAAAACCTTAATCTATACTAAGTATATATATATATTTATCACTAATATAATAAGGTAGAAGGGGAATTTAATGTATATCTGTACTCAATGATTAATCATTGCTAATGAAAAACGAAAACATTTCTCATGTTTTTTCTCGGTTTTTCACAATTATTATGAAAATTCTTTGAAAAATTAAAATATACCATTCAGATCAAATTTCCTTTCGAAAAAAACATATTACACTTAAAATTTAGACCATGATTTCTGTTAGATAAGTTGTTCACAAATAAAATAAAAAATAAAAACACATTATAAAACCAATACATTCCTACTCTCTGTATATAAAAAAAGGTTATAGAATTATGGAGGTTGATGTATCATAAATAAAACACTAAATTATCTTGGTAGGAATATATGAATTTTTTCGGAATTTCTTTTTGAATAGGTAATTTGAGATATTATACAAAATTCTTAAATTTTACATTAGGTAGGTTACTCTAACTCTGGGCCTAAAATACTGTGTCCTCTGACACACTTTGTGTCTTCTGAAAATCATAATGTGTTCCCTAAATTATAAAAGTGTGTCCCAAGTTTTATAACGTGTTCTTTGTATAAAATATAAAAATAACAAACAATTTGGAATTTCAACACAAATGAATCTTGTTCATCTCAATAAAAATTGATAACAACATCCTAGTCATCAATATTATATAAATATACTATAAACTCGCTTTAAACGAATATACCTTGTGTCTATAAATATACAATGTACTATAGGTAAGTAGGTAATCTCAAATTTGTGATAATAGCTTAGTATAGTTATTCTTCTAACAATGTTTTCCAATGGCGGTTTTTAGAAGGGACAATGGGGGCAATCTCCCCGGCCCCGGGCCTTTTTTTTTTTGTCAACTGTTAGGTATGTATATTCCGTACGTAAGCAACGATAAATCATTACTAACGAAAATAAGATTCTGAAAAGAGTTCAATTTATAGTGATCCTTTGTCAACTATATATTATATTTCATACTATTGTAATATAATTAAATAGGAATTATATATTATCTTTAATAATATTTGTTTAACATTCTACCGATTTTCTCGTTTTTCTTGGGTTTTCACATTTGTTTACTAGGAAAACTCTTGGAAAATCAAAAAATGATCTCCCTTAATTACTTTCCCCATCAAATTTTTTTTTACATTTGTTGAGAAAACTCCGAAGATAATCGAAAAATTACTTCCCTAAAGTACATTTTTAACAACATTCCTTTTTGGAAAAGTTGTTATATTGTAGATTTCGGAGAAAGATTTCTGGTAGAAAAGTTGTCCACAGATAAAACAATTATAAAACCATAAGTTTTTTTGTTCCACTCACAATCTAAAATAAAAGATATGTGTAATTTAAGATAGGACCATAAACAAATTGTATCCTTTATTTGATTTATGTCAATATGGTTTGGGGTCCAAACAATTCTAAATCACCCCTCCCCCTTGATGTTTTATCAAAACCGTCATTGGTGTGTTCATATAACTATAAATAAAATATTTTGAATTTTTATTTATATTTATTTTGTATATTTTTAAGTTCAATATAAATAATATAAATGTGTAAGGTAAGTGATATATAAAAGGGGAGATGATTTTTGGTGTTACAACCCCTACAGGTTTTTTTTCCGCTATCGAAACCTGTCAAAAGTAAACAATTGAATAAAGAAGTTTGTCCCCTGAAATCGGATGTATTTTAGGCCCTGCAGTCTAACTTAACTTACCCTAGTATTTGCTGGTAAAAGTAAAACCACTACTGAAATTTAATGTTTAAGTAGTAACCAATATTTTAAAAATTCCATAAATAGGTTTGTTTTGTTTTAATTAAAACACATTTAGGTGTTGAATCTTTTTAATATTTAGGTACTTAACCATCTGAATTTAAAAAGTTACTCACATTTTCATCGATAGGAAGAAAAATGAATAAATATTCAATGTCTAGAATATAATTTGGATATGCACCTAATATGATAATACATATTTCTAACACTCCTAATGAAATCTGTTTTCACTTAAAATTTTAAATACCCTCTGTATGTTATATTTTAATGTACTCGCTCCGCTCAGAATCTAAAATTAAAAACAATTAAATTGGTAACTGCGGTGTGCCGTAAATATTTTAGATTATTTTTTTTCCGGTTTCTCCCAATTTTTCATAATAATGGGAAAAACTGGAAAAAGACGAAAAGTGAAAACTGATAAATTTCAGGTGTTATGATTTCATTATTTTAAATTTTTAGACTATATTTTTTTACCAGAAATATGGCTCCAATAAAAAAAACGACAGGAAGTCTTTTTTGTTGCATTTTTAATCTAGTTGATGACTAAGAAAGTCGTTTTTTGATTTTAAAATTCAAAATTATGTACATGTTTACGTAGCTACTTTTTTTAACCAAATATATATGAAATTATAAATACAAGATAATATAAAAAAAAAAATATATTTTAATTCTTGATGTAAATTAATTTATAAATAAGTGGGTATTATGTACTTGTACATAAATAATACATACATAAAATAAAATGAAAAAATATACATCAGATTAGTATAATTAAATAATACATTCAAATAACATATTTATTCATTTGATCCTTGTTTTCATTTAAATATTGGGCATTCATGTACTTTTTGGTTTGCCAAAGGTAAATCGACGTCATTGGGAAGCAACACGTTTTTGTAGCGGCTAAAGGACCTTTCTATGTCGATAGAGGTTATATGAACAAATTCAAAAGTTACACAAGTTTGATTATTGCTACCATTGTGAATGTTTGAAATACCTAGCTTTAATTGCCTTAAAACAGGGATTATCCCTAAGGACTTTTTCAACTTTTTTCTTCGTTTTAGCCGACTTTTAGAGGCTTCTTTCAATTGATTCACGATATCATGCATAATACCCAGGCTATTAACCAGGGAAAAGATTTTTAGATTCAAGTTTTGTTATAGAATTGGCAAGAAATGTAATATTGGAAATTATGTGCACCAAATTATTTCTCAATAAAATATATTTAATTAAATGTTTGGCTTTTTCTTCGGAAATGGCATCTATTTCAAATTTTGAAATCATATCTTCAATGATACTAAAATTTTCGAAACATGGTAATGCAAAAAATTAATAATGTTAAAAGACCATAAAGCATTAATTTTTTTTTAAAAATAACTTAATATATTTAAGTAAAACATGTTAAAGTATGCAAGTTTAAATAATTAAAAAAAAATGTTTTATCAATATTGTAGAAAGAATCAGAAAATGTATGAAAATAATACTTTTATTATTTTTAATTTTGTATTTTGTTCTCATTCAGTTACAAATATTAATTTTAGACATTTATATTTGTTTGTTTTAGACGTGGTAAACATTAAAAAATATCTCAGCCATTTTTTTTTAGCAATTTACAGACATTTTAATTTTGAGAGTTTTTTAGGTAATTTTTATTTAATATGTACTCTATGGATAAAAACGTTAAAACTTAACAGAAATGCTTGAAAATTAAACAGGAGATTCATTATAAGTCGTAATTTGTGTCCAAAAATAAAAAACGTGTTTAATGTAGAATTTTATAATCAAATATTGACAAAAATCGTAAATATGGCCTTTTAAAATATTTATACCGAACATTGTTTTGAATATTTGTTCGTTAGCAATAGTTTATCGTGGCTTACAGATGTAAATTAAATAAATTTATATACATATTTTATGTTCCCAACTTCTCACCTACAACTGTGGCACCCCCATCCCAGTATTATTAGCCCTTTTTTAAATTTATTATTATTTCGTCATTATTTGTTACCTTTTCCATTGATAGTCATTTGCTGTTTATTTACTGATGAAATCTCAGTAAAACATCCTGAAATGCGCAACTAAAGAATGTTCGTCATATACCCAGTTGACTATGTGAGATCAAGTTTCAATATTTCCATAATCTAAAAACAGTAGTGTATTGATAAAACTTGTATTAATCATTTTTGGTTTTCTACAAAAAAATATTAATTATAATATATTACATCCCTAATCGATAACTCACTTACACTTATACCGACTTTGATATTTCAACTTAAAAATCATGTCACAAAGAAGTTAAAAATTTGGTATTATTTATAAATCCCTAACCCCCAAAAACTATTTTACATTCTGAGTGTGGTGAAGAATATATTGGTTTTACAAAGATGTTTATTTTTTTCTTTTTATATGAACACTTTTTCTACCAGAAATTTTATTCCAATTTATAATGATAGCATTTTTTTTAAAATGAAATCTGACTGGAAGATCATTTTTCAATTTTCCCGACGATTTTCCCAACAAATGTGAAAAACCGGGAAAACGTAGGAAAAACGGGAAATCGTTACAATATTAAACAATGTCTGTTAAACAATAACTGTCCCCATTATCCTAGGTCAGCTTTTTTTATTTCGGTTTGCCTACAGCACCCATATGAACTTTCTTTCCAACAGTATCTGGAAATAAAATTACATTTTTGTGATGTTAAAATGGGGTTACAAATCTCGAATTTAGAGTAAAAATAATAACAAATTCTAACCTTTACTCTCGCATCATTTATTTTACTTTCTTAGTCAATTTTTCACATATTCCAAATTTTTTTTAAGTAAAAAATTTTAAAAAATTATCTACTATTTCATGACATAATTTTCAAGAAAAAATATCAAAATTGGATGCCAGGTTAATAAGTGAGCTCTCGATGAATTTTGATATGACTAAGAATAACTGAACAATTTTATTTTGTCCATCAAATAGAATAGAGTTTCCATGGTCTTGGAGATGTCTATTTTGGACATCTGCATTTGATTAGTGCTTGTGACGTCCTTGGCAAGTGTGAACAGATCGGGTGTGAATGAGGTTGACTGATATTCTTCGGAGAACGCCTTGCTGTCCTCATTGCACTTAAGCAGCACTGCCCGTTCTGGCGTCACCATGACCGTCTTGTACGGAGTGCCCACGTTAGCTCCAGCGTTATTATCATTTTTGTTGCTCAACTCGTCAACCGGTATTTCTTTCATCTGGAATACAATCTGATCGGCAGCTACGTTAACATTCCACCGGGAGGAGGTGAACTGATGAGTGCCGCTCAGAGCGGCCATGCAACGGTAGGTGTGCCGCTCGGTCACAGCTTGTTTGGGTGGTCGGTGGCCATTGACATAGTGGTATGCGTCCGGTGCAGGAAACAGGTTAATTCCACCATTACGCAAAAGTCGGATCAGCCTGTCTGGTCGGTGATATACGCCGATCATCTCCTGTAGGGCAACTGTGGTTGCGTTCTGCAGCTGTACCATAGCTAAGTGTTCGTCACGCACCATGAATTTCACTAGTATCTTGGCCGTTGTTATGGACAGCACCACGCCACCCTCGTTAGATCCGGTCTCAGGCCTTACCTCCCATGACTGGAACGGAAAGTTCGAGTACCGGTTAACGGCCAGCCCAAACGAACCCATTCGACCTGTTCGGAAAGATACCATCTGCTTCTTTTCGTTGAATCTGTGAATTGGACGAATAGTAAGGTGGAGTAGATTATTCGTTTCCACTAAAAATGTATTTAAATTATTTGTTCGAATTCACTATTATAAAAGAGAAAACAAATTACTTATACGTAATTGATTATGCGGGAGTTATTTCCACGAAATAGTTAACAAATTTAATATAATGAATATATTATAAAATATGTCATGAATGACATAATATACTATACTATACTATGTATAGAACCTAGTTGTAAATTAATAATTGTCAGAAGTCGGGTTCAAAATAATGTGCGAAGATAGAAATTACTAATAGGCATTTCTCAATGTAGCCAGAAACAGACGTATGCACGCCTGGGACGTCTCAGAGAAAATACAATAAAGGACACTGAAAGCTAATTTATAGCCGTTATAATATTATGTAAGTAGCTCTTTTTTTTAGGATTGAGGTATAATTAATCAGTACAGCCGAATATAATTTACCTAATCAACATTATAACAATATAATAATATTATGATTGGTTGGTAATATTCCTAGACGAGTAATGAAAACAACTACTGTATTATAATGTATTACCTTATGTCATGTATATAATCAGTTGTCCAAATTTTTCTGTTTTCATTCCATATAACTGGTTTGGGATTTTCGAACCAAAGTAAATTTTCTGGTAACTTAATATTTATCAGTGCGAGTCTCTTAAGTGCTTCTGGTACAATGTAAGTTTCTTCATCTTCCAAGGATGACGACGAAAACCCCAATGATAATTGTGACGGTTCGTATTTTTCGTGATAATCGATAGGTTGAACAGTAGTGGACCCGGTGATCACCACACTCCACGCGCCATTTCGATGTTCTACAGGTTGCGTAGGTAATTTCCACATCTCTACATTAAATGCTCCGCCAATAATCCAATATCTAAATAAGTAAGAAATCAGACTTTTAATTAAGTAATTGTACTTTAAACAGATATTAATTTTATATTTGATTCTATTTTTTTGGTTGTATTTTATAATGAAAATTCTAAAAGAATATATTTAACTCTAGTTAACGCTCATGCACACTCATGATTTTGTTGGTTTATAATCCTGTAAAATAAAAATGGTGCCTAATCATTAAACCAAAAATAGTTTCTCGAAAATTCTGATTTACTAAATATTAAATATGATTGTTATTAATTACCTACATGCATATTAATTCTAAATTTAAATGTGCATCAAAGCGCAAAAAATAACTGTAAAATTAAATGGAAAACTTATTTAAGTGTACCTTTAAACAGCCACTGTTGTAGGTAATTTAATGTATATTTGTAAGCAACGATAAACCATTGCTAACGAAAAAACGATTCAAAGTACAGTTCATTTGGTAGTGATGTTTCTGACAACAATTTATATGTAATATTATGGTAAAATAATTAAATAGGCAGTATATATTTGCATTAATAATGTTTGTTTAATATGATAACATTGTACCGATTTTCCCGCTTTTTCTACGTTACTCCCGATTTTCCCATATTTTTCCTGGTTATCACATTTGTTGAGAATACTACTGGAAAAATTGAACAATGATCTCTTTAAAGTTCTTTCCTAGTCAGATTTACTATCAAAAAAAGTGCTATAGTTTTAAATCGTAGAGAAAATTTCTGGTAGAAAAGTTGTACACAGAAAAAAAAAGTCTATAATATTTTTTTACTAATATCTACATTTCGTACTTTTTCTGACATTTTAACCCAGTTTTTTCAGGTATTATGAAAACCGTTTAAAAAATAAAAAAAAATGACCTCCCTAAATTACCACAGAGTCGAAATTTGGTTGACCAGAAGTCAACCAAATTAGAATTTTATGAATAGTGGATTGCATACTTACCTACCTTATCTTTTTTCTGCCATAGTGAATAATTAAATAGTTATTTTAGTGTGCATAACTATGAGATACGTTTTATATGAAAAACGAAAAACCTATAAAAATTATTATTACTTTAATATTCAAGAGAAATAAATGAAAAAAAAATTATCTACATATCTACCTAATTGTTTTTCACTAATTAAAGGTTATATTATTATTATCTACAACATCTGTGGGCTAACTTATCGATGCGTTAATTTTTATTGTTAACATCAGTTCACTAAGTTCAATATTGCAATTTGTAATCAATCTAATCTAATTATCTAAGATTGTGTGGAAGCCCGCGTATGCATGGTAACACCAACCACCAAAGTTGTACACAACTATTATTTATACTTTATAACGAGTGTGACCATAGTTAAAATAAATAATAAAAAATAATAATCTAATAAATTTAATAAAATCTTATTTTGCGATAATATAGTAGTATAGTAAGGTATTAATTAATAGGTATATATTAATATACAGTGGTGTTAAATTAAATTGTCTATTTACGTATGTAGCGTATTTTATAAAAAAAAAGGCTTTATTTACTATTGTTACAGTTGAAACTTGAAAAATATAAACAAATATGTATATATACATATATATAAATGCGGTAAATGGGGGGGAGGCTTCAGCTCTTTAGCCCACCCTGCGTACGCCACTGGACATGTTATAAATATTGAAAATATAGAATTATTTAACATAACATATTATAATATCCCCATAATATCAGAACTTTAAAAAGCTATGATTTTGAAATTTAGTCAGTCCTCTCAATTCTGACTAAAAAAAAAAAATCGAAAAATTAAATTTGTTCCACATAATTTTTTACTCAAACGATTTACATCTAAATTTGATATTAAAATTCTCTTAAAAAAATACTAAAATTTTTTACCAAAAAGTTAAATTTTTAATTTCTGTTAGGTCTAACAATTTTACCACGGAGTACCTACCGATTAAAAATTACTTAGAAAACTCGCAAAATTAAAATGACTACAAATAGCACAAAAACAAAAATTTTACCACGTCTAGAAAAGATAAATATAAATTGTTTGTCCCAATTTTAAGTTTATAGAGTTAATACGAAAACTTTTAACTGAATTTCAACAAAATTATAAATATTTTTATAAAAAGCTTAGAAATCCCTCAAATGTTTCAAAAAAATTTGCCATATCTAGAAAAAGCAAATACAAGTTTTCTTTCTAAATTTCAAGTCTTTACAAATATTTTAAACAGAAACACAACAAAATAAAATTGAAAAATAATAAAAGCATTAATTTCGTAAATTTTCTGTTTTTCTTATGTTTTACCCTGGTTTTCCCCAGATATTATAAAAACTGCATGGTAAATCAAAAATTATCTCCCATAAGTACCATCTGGATAACATTCCATTTCAGAAATGTTGCCGTGCGTATATATCGAAGCAAGATTTTTGGTAGAACTTTTGTACTTCGTATAAAAATATAAAAAAAATAAACATCAAATAAAACCAATACATTCTTCGTTACACTCAGAATTTAGATGTCAGATGTTCAATTACTTTTCGGGATTCACTTTATGAATTTTCGGTCAAAGATAATGGATTTTTTTTTTACGTTTTAACAATAATATATAATAGATAGTTACGTTAATTATACCTCCTGGGATTCAGTTCGTTTGGTTTTTCTGGATTTTGCCGTTCATTCGAAAAAATGTCTGTTTGTTCCAATTGTTTTTTTTCTAATGTTTGGCTTGAGGATTCTTCTTCTTCTGTTTCATCAGAGTAATCACTCAGTGTAATATCACTAGTGTCTATAATATCGCCTGCTTTGTTTGCTTCTATTTCTTCGATATATGCTTTCAAATCTTCAGGGTAATTGTTTCGATCTACCGCAGCAAAAATTTTAAGTTTGTTTTCCATTTCTGCAAACCATTGTTCTTTTTCTGCTCGTTCCTTCTCTTTGTTTAGTTCCATTAATATCTTGTTTCGTTCTTCCCACACATCCTCCCAGTACTTCCACAGATCTCGAGTATCTAACACTGGTAATTTCGAGACGTCAAACTCGATCATTCTGTCCGTAAAAGGATCCCAGCGTAGCCATAGAGCCATTATTGCTATATAATTCTGTGAAAGCTGTGGTGGTACCTCTACCACGACTAGACATTCGGGAAAATCACATATTGGAGGAGGTGTGTTGTCTGTTTTTAATCTAGGTCTATGGCAAACGACATGCAAACCTACAGCAAATGCTTCGCATGAGTTATTATATTTCACTGTTTTTAAATCCACTGGTTTCATTCTATGATCGTAATCACTCAATAGATCATAACACACTCCATATATTATGTTTACGAGTAGTCTACCTAAATTATCTCTGGCTTCACGAAAAGATTGGAGTTTAAATTGATCTGAAACAAATTCATTGTTGATTACCATATGCATATTTGCTGCTATAATTGACCTTCGTGAAGATAACCTCATATTGTTAGCAGAACTTCTTAAAGCAAATCCAACAATGATCAAATATCTAGACTTGTTAGATTTTGTTGGAGCCCTCCTTCTTAGATATTCTACGTTAATTTGTTTACTACTAACTTCACACCTATATTATTTTTCAAATGAGAACTCACCGGGCGGCAGATAAAAACCAGTTGAAACACACGCATGTCAGTTTCAGCCACCGTCGGTCGCGCCACCAAGTATACGTGGTGAACTGTATTAACACAACATTGTATAAAAAATATGTTTTATAGCATGCGATGTGTAGCCGGTATGGTACAGTAGATCCGTAGTAGATCAGTAGTATAATCCGTCGCCAATAATTGATTTAATTCAATTCTCTGTATGTACGGTGGCTTTAATAGTAGCTAACCGATAGTGACCAAATTACAGAATTATGTAATTATAGAACAAATACTCATTCTATGGGAGGGATGTGTTATTCCGCCACCAATAACAATACGCCTCGCGCGGTGCGTTTTTATTTGCAAAAATAGCATAGTATTACATTGGTCGAAATTGGTTTACACCGAATATAATTGCTAAGCACTCTAATTCCGTTGCACTATAATTATTTTCGCTTTTATTTAAAATCCTCAACGAGTAAGCTGTAGGTAAATCTTTTCCTACTTCTATTACCCTGTGGTAATATTGATCCTAGCGCCTTATTACTCGCGTCAGTTGTTAATATAAGCGGTTTTGTAAAAAGCGATTTTTTTCGGATCTGGATTTATTACGTGTTTGGTTCTAATGTATCCTAAGTACACACATTCTTCCCTTTTTAGAAATTCACATTTATTGAGTTGGATTTTTAAATTATTATTTCTTAGTCGTTCGAATACTTCGCGTAATGTATTGTTATGGTCGATTAAATTTTTCCCGTAAACGATTATGTCGTCTAAATACACTAAGCATTTTATATCTATTATTCCTGCTAATACATTACTCATAAGTCTTTGGAAAGTGGAGGGTGAAGTTTTCATTCCCACTGCCATTGGTTTAAAATAAAAATATCCGTGATTAGTTGAAAATGCCGTAAATTCACGCGATGGATCTGCCAAAGGTATTTGGTAAAATCCCGATACTAAATCTATAACGATAAATAACTGACATTGACCTAACTGATCAAGGATTTCTGTTATATTTGGAAGTGGGTGATGTTAATTTCGAGTTACTTCGTTAATTGCTCTGAGATCAATTACTATTCTAAAATTTTCTTTCCCACTTGCGACTGCCTTATTTTTAACTAAAAGCTATGGTGCATTCCAAGGACCCATAGACGGCACAATTATATCGTCGTCTATCATTTTTTAAATTTGATTATTTATTTTTCCCTGTTGAACAAAAGGTAATCGATAAGGTCGTTTATGTATAGGTAATTGATATTCCTTTAAATGTATATCGTGCTTAGTTGCATTTGTAATTGTTAAGATATCCCCCTCTAAATGGAATGTTTCCGAATATTGTATTATATTATATTCCGTTTCAAGTTAATTAAAGTTAATTTCAAGTTAAGTATTTTATTTAATTCACTTAATCTTATTTCTTTTTCTACTTGGGTTTTATTTAAAATACTAATTATTGGGTTATTATTTTTAACTTAACATAATGTGTTACCACAGTACACGTACACATCTTTGACAATTTTCTTGTTTATGGAATAAAATATTTTTATTTTTGGCACGCGCATCTGATAGGTATCGATACTATTGTTTTAGTTCTAGGTATTAATATAAAAAATATTCTCTCGTTCTCCGAATTGTTCCTATTTGTTTATACTTCCTGGAATCTAGTATTGCTAATCGGTTTGCGCGTTTCATTATAAATATTATTAGGTTATTTTACGACCATACTCTCACGCGGTGTTACGCATAACTTGACAAATTCAAAAAGTTACATTTTACTATTGCTTTTGGTTTCCCACTTTTTTTGGTTGTTGACTTTATCGTTTCATTATACATTTTTGTATTACCTCATATGCGTTACTGTCGCTGTCGCGTCACGGCTATCTCTTTTATTTCATTTCCGTATTATTTAGTATTTTCATAATATTTTGATTATACGTTTGCTTATGTGCTGTCGCCAATGCTGGTGCCGTTGCTTTATGCTTATCCACCCCTTCGGTTTATATATAGACATTTTAGCTCCCGGTTTTGATTATGGTCCCCCTTTTGAATAATAATTACTATGGGTTCACGTGGGTTCATAATAGCGTCCACACGTGCCCACGCACGTAAAAAAGTATGAAAATGATAACACGGTAACACGCCGTTAAATTGATAAGACTCGCCATGCCAATTTTCCTTTGGTGTGTGACATAGGGACGCGCGTCGTGCATACAAATCTTACCACGCAACATCAATCAGACGATGCATCAACTGTAACGCACTATACCATTTCACACTCTACGTGACGTGCTACGCATTGTGTGATTCCGGCTTAAGAAGAAGGACTCCGATAAATTCCAACAGGTTTTTAATAATGTCCAAAAAGTCTATTTGAACATTGTTGAATATTTTTTGAAAAGTTCTGTCAACAGTGTAATGCTAACTTCATGTAAGTTAATAATTGAACAAAACTTTGATTTAAGTAAAGAGAATAAACTTATATGCAATAATAGAATATCTTACTTAAGTCCAGTGGCAAATCCACAATGTCATTGATGGCATCCATAATGTTGAAAATCTCTAAACATTTATTTACATAAGTGTTTTGGACGTCATTAGTGTAGGTTACTTGTCTCTCGAAAAACAGATATGTATTAATTTCTTGTAAAACTAGAGGGTTAGGAATGCCATTGCATTGAGTCCAGTGTTTCCAATCCAATTCATCACGGTGCATTCGATCGTGTTCGTATTTTTTCTGCGATAATTCTGAAAGCATTGCACACGTGACCTTCAATCGTTGCTCGCGTATCTATAACCAAATTGTTTAATTAAATTAGGTAGTGTATTCTTATTTACGAGGGAGGAGGGGTAAATATTAGGTAGGCACACAAAAAATTATTGAGGTGTTTTGTGTCCCAGGTAAGAAAGCATAAACACTCTTTTGAAACCCATTCTAAATTTCTTTAGAAATATTAAAAAAAAAATATATTAAAAATCTAAAATCTAAAACATATGCACTGAAACACATAAGTAATATATTCATTATAATGCATAGTAATTAAATTTCACTAAAGGAAATTGAAATCAAATGCAAATGTTTATGCCGAGCTTTTTCATAAGAAAATGTATCGATGATATCATTGTAATTTATTTTCTTTGTCAAGATTTGTCATGATTCTATGGTTAGATCAGTTAAAAATTTAGCGTTTAGTAGTTCTTGATCTCAAATAGGACTTAATACTTTTTAAAACATAATAAGATCTATCTGTAGTAATGTATTTATGGGGTCGGGGGAACAATGGGCCATACCAGGGATTGTAAATAAGTGACACGCGGGAGTTTTTCAATGGCATCCGTAAGACTTTCATGTGTCCAAATACATTTATAGATTTTTGAGTAACATATAATATCAACAAAACTGATTTACAAATTGCACATACTATAGGTATTAATAATCTTTATTTCACAAAGACGTATTGTTATCTTTATTATTATTCATATTTTGTACTGGAACACTGAAAAATAAGTATCATTCTAAAACCATTTGCTTCACTTAGAATCTAAAAATAAAATAAATGAACGTCTTTGTAAAACCAACACATTCTTCATATCACACAGAATCTAAAACTTTTAAATGATGTTAACTGTGTAAATGACACTCTTTTAATGTTAATATTGTTAAACAGATTTGTACATTTTTTGGACGAAATTTGTCTATTTTTACATTTTTTCGTAATTTTCTAACTTATCATTATTCATTTTGTATTTATTTTGTAAAACTTCTCTGTATTAATAATAATAATTGGTGGCATAGTTGAAATTTTTTTTTTAAATTGTGTCATAAATTGACATGATAAAAAAATCCTATTTGCCATTCCTGGGCTATACAAGTTCACTTACGAAAAAAATTTAAAAACAGTACTGGGAATAATAGTAACAACACTACACTACTAAAGTAGGTACTATTTCGTCTTCAAAATTTTAGCGTTATTAAAGTGGAATATATAACTTAACCCCTGTGTTGTGTGGGTCTCAATGGTAAAACCCTTTTTCCTCCTATAAGGTAAATTGGCATGATTCCGGCACAGATATGGTCGGCAAATTTATATATTAATATATATAAGCACACTTTATAGTAACACATTACAATACATTTCTCGCTCCACTCCGAGTCTAAAATATGAAAATATATGCAAACATAGATGTTCGTGTAACGTATCGTAAAAAAAGATAATAGGTAAAAAAAAATCAAGAGACCGCTACAGAAGTGCCACCAAAAAGGTCGTGACCGCAAATGTGTTAACCGCATCTATGCCGACACCAATTGACATAGGCAACGCCAAGCGCGCGGAACAGCTATATTTATATATAAACATTATATAATTTTTTAAATCGAGTGTTCACGGGAAAAAACGTTTTTGTTTTATTTAAATTGTTTTTCGTTCAATACTGGCACGAGAAAAATCGTAAGGGATAGTTAGTATGTGCGGGATACATAAATATAAAATATATTATACCTTCAGCAAGTGTAAATTATTTAAATTTCAAAAGTTGAAAATTAATTCATGAAAACATCAAATTTTTATACTAAGTTTTAAATCATGGGTTTTGGTTCATTTTGTTATAACTCTTTGGCTTTCGAAAATTTGTATTCACTCTTTTGTTTTTGTTCTATTGTCGAAATAACATTTCAAGTGTTAGATCATCAGGGGAATGCGAGATACCCTGTACGAAGGGTAGCTATTAAATAACGAGACTTCTCGCCTAGAGGGCGCTCTAGATGGGTAGTGAAAAAAACGAATAATGCGTTGGATATCTAGATATCTTATCTATGCACGTACCAAAACACGTTTTCGTCACTATTATAGTATTTGTGCAGTAGTGGTTTGAAACGAATGTGTTTTTTTCTCGTGCCGAAAACCATGTGTAACAAAAACATGAGCAACGGATAAACGTAAAATTTTCTCGTTAAACTAAAAAAAACTCCAACTGAGTGCTGAAAGTTGTTAAAAGAGCCCTATAGTGAGGATTTCCTATCTCGGGCGTGTGTTTTTGAGTGGCATAAATTATTTTCTGAAGGTCGAGAGTGCACCGGAATCCAATTCAGTCGTAATCCAAATTCAAAACCGTTTTCTTCGATATCAACGGCATCGTGATGACTGAATGGGTTCTAGAGGGTCAAACTGTGAACCGACGTTACTATTTGACAGTTTTGGCAACATTGCGCGAATGAGTTCGTAAGAAACGGTCGATATTGTGGAAAAACAAGTCGTGGATCTTGCACCAGGATAAAGCGTGAAGCGTTATTTGGCCACTTAAGGCACTCCAGTACTGGAACACGCGTCTTACTCACCCGACTTGGCACCCTGCGACTTTTACTTGTTTCCGAAGATAAAGTCTGCCTTAAAAGGAATCCGGTTTGAGTCAATGGAAGAGGTGAAACAAAAATCAGCGGAACTCCTGAATGGTCTTACGAAAACAGACTTCTAGCAATGCCTCGATCAATGGAAGAAACGAATGAAACGGTGTGTGGTGAGGGGAGGGGAGTATATTGAAGGGGAGCATTTGAATGTAGAATAATTTTTATAATAAAACACTTTTTCGTAAACAGTCTCGTTATTTAATAGCCACCTCTCGTATACTTATATTATTCATTTTTTAAAGTTATTTTTAATTTGTAAATTATATGATTATACATTTAATTAATTGTCTATATTAATAAAAAATTAAATATAGTGAAGTTTCCATTAAATAATTAGCTATAATATTAAAAAAAAGCTGATAGTGGGGATGGGAGCAGCCACTGTTGTAAGTGAGAAGTCGGGGAGGTAGGATACATAAGGTTATGTCATTTATATCTGTAAGCAACGATAAACCATTGCTGATGAAAGACCCTTCCGAGCGCAGTTCGTTGATACATAATTTGAAGTGCTGATATAATTTTTGCGATTTTCGTTTAAATTTGATTTCAAAACGTTTATTTTTTTAAAAAAAGAGACCTACATCATTAAAAAAATATTAATAATTCAACAAAAAAGGACACTTGTCGTTTTTCAATCGAAGCCATATTTGTGCTCGAAAACGTGGTAGATTTAAAATAACAAAATCCTAAAAAGCATATTTTTTATCCCGTTAATCGTTTTTATTTTAAATACCGTTTCGAAAATCAAAAAATGACCTATGTATTTATCAAGTAGATTAAATTGACTTTCAGAAAAAGTGCTACACTTATAAGTTAGAGCAATTTTTCTAGGATAAAAGTGGTTTACAGTATAAAAAAGTACAATTGTAAAAAAATTAAAAAAAGGAAAAAAGTCATTCGATAATTTTAGAAATTTTACCACGTTTAGGTAAGTTCAATATTAGTAAAATTATCAAGTTTCAAGTCTCTACGTGTATTTATAACCGAATTAAAGCAAAAAACCTCTCAAAAATTAAAATTCCTTAAAAGCTCAAAAGTTTTTTCAAAGATACCGTTGTTATGAGCACATTGCTATAATATATAGTATAAGCCCTTTGTATTAGAGCATAAGAATATATTACTGTAGTCTATCGATAACGCCTAGTGTGTAGGCGGCTCTGAGAATATTGTAGTCCTACACCCGCGAGAGAGCCGCGCAGTCAGTCGAGCTACCATTTTTAAAACTGTACGTCGTCTCGACGACCATTATAATATATTACAATTTAATTATGTAGTTCGGCTCATATTAAAATTATATTAGTAACCAAAAATCCTTAGAACTGTTTTGTTGTACTTTAATCTAAAAATTGAATCCTCACACTACCGAACAAATAAAACAACCCATAATCCCTCATTTCAATGGGGAAAATGTTCAGGAGGTATACCACTTTATAAATGCGTGCAATTTTGTCATGCAATATGTTGAAGAGACCATACAGCCTGTGCTCTTACAGGTTATAATAATTAAATTAGCGAGCAAAGCTTTTGAAATAATCCAAAATAGGGAAATTTCCACATGGAAGATACTTAGGGAACATTTAGAAGACACATTCTGTGCTACACGCATACCAGGATATCTTCAGTCAGAGCTCACTACGACTAAATTCCAATAAGAAGAAACCGTACGAGAGTATGCAGCAAGAGTAGAAAAACTATTTACGAACTTTGTAATGTAAGCACTAAGGATAAAACATCCAGTGACGCAAAAGCTATACATAGTTACATAAAATAAACAACCTTAACTATGTATATTGAAGGTTTATCATCTTCTATTCGAAGTGTAGTGAAACCAAAGAATCACCTAACGCTAGAAGCCATAAAGGATAACTTAGAAGAAAAAATTTATCAATCAAATAAAGGAACTCAATGTTTGTTGAATAACAAACCAAATAATAGGTATGACAGTAAATATTGTAAAAATTGCCGGAAATCAAACCATAATACAAATGAGTGCAGATATAGAAATCACAATGTTGATACTGGACAACAAAATAAACAATCTAAAGGATTCATTAATTAAAGGAATCAGGATACTAAACAATCATATATTATATATCATATATTTATTGCAAGAAATTTGGTCACACAATAGAAGTATGCTATAAAAGAAAAACGCAGATTCAAGAAGGGAAAGTCAAGATAACTCATCAACGTCAGATAACGCCAAAGAATCGGTCAAAAAGGGCGTTCGTCTGATTCGCGAATTGAAAATAATAACTTAACACTAAATGTTCTAACGTATAAAATTAAATTAAAGGATAATCATGCTACATATAAAATACCATAATATATTTAAGGAATAGTCAATTTACTCATAGATACTGGAGCAGACCTTAATATAATTAAAATAAATGCAATTCAGGACGATGTCATGGTATCTGATAGTAAAATTTATAAATTACAAGAAATTAGTGATCAATTAGTCAGTACTCTATGAAGTACAACCCAAAACGTATCAATAAACAATAAAGTTTACGAAACAGAATTACATGTAGTTAATTCATACTTTCCAATATGCGGAGATGCAATATTAGGGAATTCCTTCCTAAAAGATAACCAGATGTTAATTAATGTGTCTAAAGAAGAATTAATTTCTAAAGCAGATAGTACAACTACTATTCAAGCACGACATGAAATGATTATTCCAATACAATTTGATGTTCAAGATTTATCTGAAAAATCAAACATAATCATTTACGCGAAAATATTCTGTGTGGGAATATATTAAATATTGTAAAACATAATCAGGTGCTTAAATGTTATAAACCTAACAGAGGAAAATCAAGTTATACCAATACCAAAACTTTCAAATTTATCGCATGCGATTTTTGATATAGTTTCAATGGATAACATACAAACAAGTAAAGTAAACGTAAATACGGAAAATCACTCTGAAATATGACCATATGAACATAAAAGGGAAGTGATTCTAGATTTATGTAGTAAATTTCCAAATATATTCTATTTAGAAGGAGACCAAATGACGTATACCAATGTGGTGCAACATGAAATTAAAACTCTTGGAGTCACTTAGCCTATTCATCAAAAGCCATACAGACTTCCTTATGCTCAATAGGGAGAAATAGCAAAGCAAGTTGGAGAAACACAACAAGACGGTAAAATAATATCAAACGATAGCCCTTGGAATGTACCATTATTAGTTGTACCCAAAAAATTAGATGTATTGGGAGAAAAAAAATATCGAATAGTTGTTGACTTCCGCAAACTCAACAGCATGTTGAGGATGTAATACTGTAAGGCAGGCATGTCAAACACGCGGCCCGAGGCTCATTTCTTTGTGGCCCGCGGCTACCAATATTAATGGACAAAAAAAAAAAATATTAATGTCGTGTAACGACTATTTTAGATTCTTAGAGAGTGGTTTATTTGGTATACATTATTATACTGTCTTATCTTCTGATAAACCATAATCGAATAAGGATTATTGATGGTTTTATATATATATTTATATCTATATAGATTATAGAAAAAATATTAATAATTTATATCGTCAGTTTGCGACACGCGTGTTAGTTGTTCGATAAACACCATGTGTTCGCGTTTAAATTTTGTTACGTGTATTCCTCTGTACATTTAATAGTTAAAAATGTCTCTATCAAAACCAAGTGGTAGTAATAAACGAAAAATTACCGATGAACATCGTCAGTTTAAAGAAAATCGGGAGTTACAATATTTTTGCAGTGAAATCAATAATAAAATACTTTGTTTAATATGTAAAAGTGTTATTAGTGTTCCAAAGTTGTACAACATTAAGCGACATTATGAACAACATAAGTCAAAATACGACCAGTATGAAGGGTTATTGAGGCAAGAAAAACTGAAAGAGTTTTTATCAGGGTATAAAAAACAACAGATAATGTTTACTAAAATACCACAAGAAAATGAAGCTGCAGTAAAGGTTAGTTACGTGTTGTCAGAGTTAATTGCAAAACATTCGAAACCGTTCACTGAAGGTGATTTTATAAAAACGTGTTTGATTAAAACTGCTGAAATTATTTGTCCCGGAAATCTAAAAGCTTTTCAAAACATTTCATTATTACGAAATACGGTTGCTGAACGAATAACTGAACTAGCATGCAATTTGAGTAATCAAATTAAAATTAAAATACCTACATTCGAGTATTTTTCAATCGCTTGTGATGAAAGTACCGATATTGGTGGCACAGCTCAGTTAGCTGTGTTTTTTCGTGCATGCGATATGGAATTTAATATTTTTGAAGAGTTATTGGAAATTATACCTATGTTAGATACTACTACAGAAGAGGATGTGTTCGTTTCTGTTTTTAAACTCTTGAAAAAATATGATTTACATTTGGAAAAATTATCATCTGTAGCTTTAGATGGAGCTTCTATGACGGGGAAAATAAAGGATTCGTTGAAAGAAAAAAAGCGAATGAAAATGTTGAACATAAATTTCATAGGACACATTGTATTATACATCAAGAGGTGTTATGTACAAAAGTTATTAATATGGCACATGTAATAAGACCTGTAAAACAAATAGTCAATTTTATAAGATCCCGTGGTTTGAACCAAAGACAATTTTCGATTTTTTTTAAACGATCTAGAAAGCGAGTATTCAGGTTTACCATACTTTACAGAAGTACGATGGTTATCGTGTTCCACTGTATTAGAAAGATTCTGGAACTTAAGAGATGCCATTAAAACATTTTTAGAGTCAAGAACAAGACGTCAGCGTTTTATCGGATCCAATGTGGTTACAAGACCTTCATGGTCGATATAACGAAGCACTTATCGAATTTAAATTTAAAATTGCAAGGGAAAAATCAAATTATAACAGCCATTAATGACCATGTTAAGGCTTTCAAATGTAAATTAGATCTATTTAAAACGCAATTACAAAACGAAGACTTAACGCATTTCCCAGCATGCATGACGTATACAAAAATTAATAATGAATCAATTTCCTACAAAAAATATTCAGAAAAAATTATATGTTTAAAGACCGAATTCGAAAATAGGTTTCAAGATTTCCATTATTTAGAAAACGATTTTGCCTTGTTTACGTCTCCTTTTTCGATAGACGCAGTAAATGTTCCAACACGTATACAAATTTAACTGATCGAGATTCAAAATGATTCAAATTTAAAAAATAAATTCAATGAGGTTGGTGTTCCTGATTTTTACAAATTTGTGCCAATACAATATGTGGAAACTCGTAGATTTGCTAGTAAAATTATATCTATGTTTAGTAGTACTTATCAATGCGAGCAACTTTTTTCATTAATGAACAGTAATAAATCACCCGTTAGATCCAGATTAACCGACACACATTTAAATGCAGTGTTAAAAGTCGCTTCGTCAAATAATATTTCTCCCGAAATTGAAAAGTTGGTGGGAGAAAAGAGATGNTTTTTGTAATTTATACAACACCTATTTATTTTCATGAATAATTAGTATGATTTATATTTTATTTAAATGTTAATGTTCATTTCTTTTTTAATTTTTTAATTTAGTTGTAATTGCTGTACTCGTAAACATAAAGAATAAAATTGAAAATTTGTACAAAATATTTATTTTTTCGCTAAATTTTTATGTGCTGCCCAAATAGTAAACTTTTCAATATATTTGGCCCACCTGATACTTTGAGTTTGACATGCCTGCTCTAGGGGATGCTTTTCCAATTCCAAATATCACGGAGATATTTGATCAGCTAGGTAAATCAAAATATTTTACTTGTCTAGATATGGCAAGTGGATATCACCAAATACCTCTACATTCAGATGATTGAGAAAAACCGGTTTCAGTACGGACCAGGGCTATTTTGAATTTCAAAAAATGTGTTTTGGGTTGAAAGGAGCACCAGCGTATTCCAAAGACTGATGAATCAAGTACTTACTGATCTTAACGATATTAATGCTTTTGTTTATTTAGATGACGTCATCGTAATCGGGATATAATTAGAAGACCATATTAATCAATTAACACACGTTTTTGGTAGGTTTAAAAAATACAATTTAAAACTACAACCGTCAAAATGTGAATTTTTGAGAAAAGAAGTTTGCTCCTTGGGACATATTATCACAGATAAAGGTGTCATATCAGACCTAAAAATAACAGATTGCGTTGTAAATTTTCCAACTCCAAAAACTGAAAAAGATGTTTTTCTTAGGTTTGGCAGGTTATTATAGATGCTTTATACCAAATTTCAGTTAAATTGTTAATTCTTTCACAACTTTGCTGAAAAAAGATGCAGATTTCATTAGGACAGATTTATGTAAAAATGCATTCTTAGAATTAAAACAATTACTACCACAATAACCAATATTGCAATACCCAAATTTCTCTCGTCTATTTATTGTTACAATGGATGCTAGTAATGTAGCAGTTGGTGCTATTTATCACAGGGAAAAGTAGGATTAGATTTATCAATTGGATGTATTACGTACGTTAAATAAGGCTAAGAAAAACTACAATACAACAGAGAAGGAATTACTAGTGATAGTTTGGGCCGTCAAGCAGTTTCGTCTCTATTTGTTTGGGCATCGATTCACAATCATCACAGACCATAAACCATTGACTTGGCTATTTAATATCAAAGATCCGGATGCTCGATTTGTGAGATGGCATCTACAACTGGAGAAACACGATTATGAGATAACTTATAAGCCAAGAATATCGAATTCAAACGTATATGTGTTAAGTCGCATTACTCCAGTTAGTTTAACTTATCATACTTCATGTAGGTACGAGAAATGCATAGATGACATACAATCAAAGATAATAACAAACTCAAATATCATATAAGTGGAAGGCGATTTATTCCAAGTCACAGCAGATTTTGCACTGAAGCATTGTGTGTCTAAAGATTTTAAGATGTCTAAATGAATTAGTTTTGAATTTAGAAGAAAATTCAGTCAAGTCGACCAGTTACTTGAACAAAATAAGTAAGTTACTAAGATAGCAACTATACAATATGATAAATGAACGTAATATTTTATCACTAAAAGAATCATATAATCAAAAGCCAAATTACGAAATAATGTTTTATGCCACACAAAATTTACGGAAATTTTGTGAATCCAATTATATAAATAAAGTAGCTCTACCTAAAATCGGTAGTGGCCACGATTAGATTAATTGGGAACAAATTCGTATAATGTTACTGTATATTTTTTAAAAATTCGAAAATTAAAATAGTGGTTTACAGTGGTGAGTCTTATTCAGAAGAAGAGAAGCGTAAAATTATCAAAGAGTTCCTACTTGTCTCTATTAGGAAGTCATCAAGGAGTTTCTAGAACGATTAAACGAATTAAGTTACACCATACATGGAAAGGCTTAAAGAAGAATGTTATAGAATTCATAAAGAAATGTACTTCATGTCAAATTAATAAAAGTAGTAACCACACAACTTAACAACCCATGGTAGATACATCTATTGATAATAAAATTTTCAAGAAAATCTTTATTGACATTGTTGGACCACTTGAAACTTCGACTGAAAGAAATTTATAAATACTCAAAATGCAGGACGATTTAACAAAATTGTCTGCAGCAGTTCCATTAGTAAATCATTCAGATAACTCAATAGCGAAAGCATTTGTTGAAAATTGTGTCTGTCAACATAGAATATCGAAGTCAATAGTCACGGACCTTGGTTCTTGTTCTTGGACAAGATTTTTTTAAGCAAAGTATTCACTGCGGTAAACTTTTTCAAATAGACAAAAATAAAACGAAGGCGTATATCATCCACTGTCCAACAGAACCTTAGAGAGGTCCCAACGAACTCTAAAAGACTATCTAAGTCACTTTGTTAAGGAGAAGATAAAACTGGGATCAATATGTTTCTTATGCAATGTTTATATACAACAGCACGGTTTACACGTCGACAGGATTCCAGCCCCATGAGTTAGTGTATGGATATCCAGTCAAAGTACCTTATTCATTGTAGAGATCTCCACAGTCATGTTATAATTACGAAAATTACAATTTTGAAATCAGAAAACGATTTCAAGAATTACACAGAATAGCGCGTGTAAACTAATTAAAAAGAAACAGAAACCAAAACTAGTACGATAAAAAGCAACATGAAATTATTATTAATGTAGAAGATATAGTTCTTGTGAAAGATAATAAACAAAAGAGAAAGCTACAACCCAAATGGATGGGTTCTTGATGGGTAACTAAATAGGGATTAAGTTACCACTTTTCATGATTACGAAACCGTATCCATACAACGTGCATGTAAAGTAGTAGTAATACACAAGAACGAATTGAAAATGTTTAACACATAACTTAAGAAATAATCAAAATATGAGAAGATTCATAACTTCACTACATAATTTAAATTATCTTAAATAGTACTTATAATATTAATTGTTTCAAAGCAATTTGTACAATTGAACGCTTTGTAAGGGCAGATCCTTTATATAATATTTCACAAAGAAAAGTCATCGGGAATTTATTTTGACTACATCTCCAACATGCGCACAGTTGCAACTAATTTGGAGATCAGAGCATGTTTAAACATTACAATTTATCTTATATATTACATACAAATTAAGAATTTACAAGAAGAAACATTATCGCTTTGCAATGAAGCTACCAAAAATGTCGAAAATAATTGTAATTTTTTTTATTTTAACGAACAACTCCATACAAATGATATTTGTTTAAATTTTAAATCAGTGTCAGAAAAATTGTAAGCGAATTTAAAGCAGAAACTAAGTAATTGAAGGACAAAATTATTTAAGAAATAAACGACACATATCCAAAAATAAAGAAAATATGATATATACATTATTTGGAACAATTAGTTTTAATGATATTTCCAAATGGTATTCAAGCATAAAAAATATGATAAAAAATGATAGAAAATTTCAAAATATAGTATAAGATGATAATCACTCCTGCTAGTACAAATGAAGCGATAATTCTTGATAAAAAAACAGTAGAAGTGACAACACAAGTTACAAATAATATGAAGAGAATTTGCCAGTATCTTACTTTAGATAGGGACAACTTTAGCCATAGGAATATGGAAATAATTTTAAGAAATTAAAACCTTAAATTTAGAAACAATTTAAAACCAATATTCTTTAGAATTAGGTCAAGTATATCAAATCTTACATTTTGCTATATAGGGAAAACTATACTCATTCGTAATATCCTCAGCTCAGTTATTGAAAGAAATGAAAACAATTAAATTAAATCGTCCATCTAATCTGGGTATACCAGTAAAACTAGACCTATCAAGCATGTCAGAAATGTTTAATATTATGCAAACAAATATTGTCAGACATAATGATATAATTATGTTTATAAATATTATTCTAATAGTTTCTAGTAGTTTATATAATATTGTACCTAACCCAGTGTTAGTAGATACCAACATTTATATGTTCATTAAACCTAGGATTAGGTATTTAGCTTTAACTATTGACCAACTATTGTATACTAACTTAGATCAAAATAAATTGAGTATGTGCTATGACACGAAACATTTTAAAATACATAAAAATCTTATAACCTAAAGGGTGACGACATCAGATGATTGCGAAATCAATTTAATAACCAATACAAAATTATCTAACATTGATAATGTTTATAAGCTTAAATACACATCAATTGAACATGGTATTTTCCATAAATTAATGTCATCAAATTCATGGCTGTATACTGTAATTCAACCAAATTTAATTATTACTTGTTCAAATCATAATCAAATTATTATGAAAATGTATGGTTCAGGAATTATATCTCTCAGCGAGCGATGTTCCGCTTCGTCTGCATGTTATCACATGAGACTGTTCAGAACCATGTATTCTGATATGGACTCAGAGGTTGTACCAAGCATAAATATAACTTGTTCCACAAAACTACTAGTTTAAAAAAGTTACTACCTTCAGAATCTATTTTTTTCAAATTATGAGAAGGAAGTCGTAACACAAAATAACACAAATAATGAATCAATATTGATTAATTTTAGTTTAATTATTTGTATTTGTAGACTGTTAATCATATTATTTAGCTTAATCATAGTTATGGTATACAAATGTAAAATAAAAAATGTAAACCAACCGAGTTCGACGGATCAAACAATCTTAGAACTCGAAGAATCTCTAGAAAGTGGAAAATCATCATCGCCCAAAATAGTTCTTTAAACATAGGGTCATGATCTTTCGTCTAACCTGGGGGAGGTTATGAGCACATTGTTATAGTATAAGCTTTATGTATTTGAGCATAAGAGTATATTATTGTAGTCTATCGATAACGCCTAGTGTGTAGGCGGCTCTGAGAATATTGTAGCCATACAGCATCCACGAGAGAGCCGCGCAGTCAGTCGAGTTACCACTTTTAAAACTGTACGTTGTCTCAACGACTATTAAATATATTACACTTTAATTATATAGTTTGACTCACATTAAAACTATATTAGTAATAATCCCAAAAATCCTTAGAACTATTTTTTTGTACTTTCTCCTAAAAATTGGATCCTCACATTACCGAACAAATAAAACAACCTGTACGAGCACAAAAACTCGTACAGACACAACAATGTAAAAAAGTAAATTAGAAAGGCAACAATAAAGGTATCTTGTGACTTTTCGATTAAATCATTTTTTCTAGTAGAAAACGTCATTTGTGTTTTTAAAAATAATAAAAACGTGAAATTATGCTTTTAATAAAGTGCTTTTATTTAAAAAAATGGCTTCGAAAATCTAAAAATTTCCTATCTGAAGTACCAACTAGACAACTTGAGCTTTTAGTAAAATTGCTACACGTAAAAATCGAAGGAAATTTACTATGAAAAAACGTGTCCACAGACTAGAACAAAGAAGAAGATACGAACCAATACGCTCGGAATCTAAAAGTATGCACTACTACTAGCTTGTTATGAGTTCAAATTTATGTGCTAAATGTTTTTTTTTAAAAAAAAAAGAAAAGTTTATGAATTTAAAATACTTGTATTATATATTTTAAAGAATACAAGACAATTGACAATATTAAATAAACACAAATAGCCACAAATTACCTGTTGTTCTAAAATTGTTGAATTTTCATTTTGTGCTTGTAAAACTTTTAATTTAGGTTTTTCGATTTCTTGTGTCTGAGGATCAAATGTCGAATTATTGTTTTTTAACTCATTTTTATTTTGATCAATACGCTTTGCCATTTGAATTTTGAATTTAACTATATATTTCACAAAGAATTTATACACGTGTGATTTGTTTTGTATTGAATTAGCGTTAAATTAACACGGTCGCTTGGCAATTTATCTTCAACTGTTTTTCTTTTTAATTATTTGAAAAAGTGTAGTCAAAGTATCTCAAAATAAGAAAATGGATGGAAAAACCATGTGAAAATCAATAGACGAAATATTATCATTCGGCCCTATAGTATAGTGGTGATTAACTGTCCATTATTTAATCATCTGCTTTCATTCTTTAAAATGTGTTATCATTGATCAGTTATCACTTGTCAATAATTTACCTAAATACAAGTGATATATAAACAATATTGTTTATCTATCTCGATACTGTGGTGGAATGTATCAAATGTATGTTAGAACGTGTTCAAAAAACCGGATGAAAATGTCACGGACTACTTCCATCACAAGTCGCGTATGTGTCGAGAACTTAAATTACTTTTTGATGAACGTAAACAACAGATTGTTACAAGGATGCATTCCAAAGAGAAATCCTACTATTTGTTAAGTCGCACGCTGAGAAAATGAGCTGTTTGGTGATTTATTGATGTATTCAAGGATTAATCCAGTATGATCGAGTATGAGTGGAACACTTCAAATTATCTACTAAGATGTACTGGGGCAATATTAAACCGATAGTGGCAACTGTGAAAACGACAACGGGAAATCCGTAAGAGGAAGAGGATTGTCAAATTACTACCTAGAAATGACAAAAACGAACCATTGTGTTTCAATTGTTATTTGTTTGGGCAGTGGACACGTATCTTAATTTTGTACTAAACCAACGAAACCTAAATTTACAGAATGCTCTAAATATGGTTATGAGTTAGGTAAATGTCATGGCAAAACTAATGAAGAAGTTTCGTTTATAGCGTTTGACAAAAAGTCAAACCAAATGAATCAAAGTTTTTTTCGATGTTATGTCGTGACGGTATCACGGAGCTGCAGGGGGCACTTAACATGTTAGGACGGCTTGCCCCCTGATTCGTATCGTATTATTTATTGGTCATAAACGGAACATACATGTACAATAGGGTGGCCCTTATTTTGACGTACACATTGTATACGTTATATAGAACCGTTTCTTATAGGTCAAGTTATAATACTTGTTCAGGCTGTGATCTCACTGTGTTAACAGTCCACAAATGAAAAATGAAAGTTGTTTATTCTTTTCTTTTTCTTTGCTAACCGTTCAACGAGCAATATCTCTCGTGATGACGTTATTGTTTTTTCTTTTTTTTCAATCAGTGTATCAAAGGATGACGGTCATTTAAGGTACCATGTTCAAGTTTATATGTATACCACCATAGGTAATAATTTTATTTAAGCCATCGAAGGCATATGTATATTTATGTTAAGGTTGTTATTTAAGCCATCAAAGACTCATGTTTCTAGATTAATAATTATTCATAGCCACTGAGGGCACGTATTTTATTTATAGTTATTAAATTGTTAAAGTCATACGTTATACTTAGTAATAGTTTCACATACTTGTTATATTTGCCAAACAGGCACTCAATTGTTATATATGTTAAATGATTACTAAGAAATGTTGTGATATTACCTATACCAATTTTACTACCATTTTTATATAGTCCACTAAAAATTCTTTGTTATTTATATTAAAGATAAAGTTGTCTACTGTTGACAATTTTTCATAATAATCATTTTAGACCTTCAAACCGGATGTAATACTTAATTGATATCCATAAGTAATTAACCACAGCATTGCACTCATTGTTTATTTAATAATAATTTTTATAAAACATTATTTTGTGAAATAAGCACATTGTGCATCAACTTCCAATATATAGGTCAAAATCATGGACATTGAAGCAGCAAAATTGAAATTGAAGTTGATTCATTCCAATTTATATGTAATTACCACATTTATCAGCCAGTTCAAAAATGAAGTAAACACTTTGAGTCAAGTTCGTGTACGGTTGGAAGAGCTTCCAAATCTATCAAAAAATTTTGAGGAGTATCAAGCAGTTGTAGAACAGTGTGATCCCAAACCAGATGAAGTGAAAATGAAGGATCAAACAAAATTCAGAGCTATAAAGACGTCAAAGCTTTATTAATGCACATTTTGGAAACTGAAGAAACAAAAAAAATCAGAGATAGCTAGTCAATCATACAGCAGCTTTTTTACTCATGTAAATTCAAACACAATGAAGTTACCACCTATCGCTACCCCCAAATTTAACGGTGGCTGGCAACAATGGACGTCATTTATTGATTCATTTAATGCAATGTTCCATAACAAGCAAAATTTACCACCAGTACAACGTTTTTATTAGCTTAAGTCGTGCTTAGAAGGGCAGGCAAGTGATGTCATTAAATCCATACCAACAACAAATGAAAATTATCAGCGTCAGCAGCTGAGTTACAATGACTTTATCATCATATCAGGTCAAATATTAATGCATTGCAGGCATTAGGCCAACCAATTGAAAGTTTGTAAGTAGTGGCCATCACTTTTTCTGAAAGGAAATATGACTGGGGTAGTGGTACTTTAGGGAGGTTATTTTTTGATTTTCCCAGCTTTTTTCATAATAAATGGGAAAAAAAGTAAGAAAACGGGAAAATATGTATAATATTAAATACATATTATTAAAGAAAAAATATTAAAATGTAATTATTTTACTATAACATGCAATATATATTTTTGACAAAGCAATACTATTAACCGAACTCTGCTCAAAATCGTTTTTCGTTAGCAATGGTTAATCTTTGCGTACAGATATACATTAAATTTTCCTTTTACCTTCCTAACTTCTCACCTATCGTGGCACACCACCCCTCCTCCACTGCATTTCGCCGACCAGTTCATTGGTTTGTCTTGGTCGATTTATCTAGAATGTTGACTTATGTTAATAAAATGTATAAAGTATTAATGAATAAATTACGCAGTTATAGGCGTTATAGGTATATAGGATCACAAAATCTAATTTTGGTAAGCACCTACTCGAATACAAATTTTAACATATTTATGTTCAGTTAGTATATTATTACCTACTACCTACTTTACTTAAATTTAAGATTAAATCTATTATTTACTATAAATTAAATATAGAATTGTTACTTTTAAAACTATATGAATATTGTTTAGTTATTTTATTAGTTTGTTTTTAGTATATTATTTTTCATTACTAAAAAATTGTTATAATATTTATTTAATTAAGTTAATGTCAAATGTTTTATTTTGATTAAAATGGCCATATTCAGAGATATGAAGCTGTAAATGATATAATAAAACTTTTAAACTTTGTAGTAGTGTTCTTAGGAGACATTTCTAGTTGGAAACATACGGCTACAACAGTAGCCTCTATTTTAATTAAATCACTTGAATCTGAATTTTTAGTATCACTTTAAGTAGTAAATGTAAATAAAGAATCTTTAAACTATTATATTTTATTTAAATAAATGATTTTAAAACTTATTGTTTTTAGCTATTATTTTCTTATGGTTTACCAATTTATGAATTATTACAAAAGTAAAGACATTGACGTAAAGGAAGCTATAAATCTTCCAAATGATAATGTTACAATACTTACAAATTTAAGAACTAATATTAGTACATAGTTTAATAAAATGTTCAAAAAGTCACAGGTAAATATGATTCACTTTGATTGAGACTAGAATATTTTTAGTTAGAAGTGTACTATTTAAATTACAAAACATTACACTTTACCTACTGTTTTTGTCACTAAAAAATAGTAAAAAAAAATGATAACTTCATTTAAATTGCGGTGGTACGATAATGGAAACCTTGGGTACTTACGCCGTATGTTCTCGTTAATTTGTATACATTTATGATGAACGACTTGGTGCTGCGCGACTAAAACACGTCGTGATTAATTTCAGCTATATCTACTGAAAAGCGCCACCGCTGCCGTGCAGAGTCTATCTGGTAGCAACTGTACTTACAAATACTTGCATGTACTTTCAAAGTATTTCCAAATATGTGTACACCTACTTCCTCTAGTGATTTACCTCCCTGCGAATAGTATAGAAAAATACAGTGTCCCCCCTGGATTTTCGAAGATGGACGCCCTTGTGCTCAGCCATAAATAAATAATAAATAAATTGTTTACAATTACATACAATAATAAAAAGTTTAACTCACCTAACTAGTAGGTACCTAATAAACGAGTCCAGACGATTCAATAGTCAACTGACGTCTAACGAAGTAGCAAATAATAATCACATAACACAAGATACTCGTAATAAAAATCGTTTTTGCATGTTTTAGTAGAATTTAAAGTTTTTTTTTTTTTGTATTTAAGGGATGAAAATAAAAATTTAATATAACTCCAAATAGATGTCCCCCACGAACAAACCGATTAAAAAAAAAAAATTGAAACAAATTATATATAACAGCGCTAGAAAAATCCGTCAAATACGGTGAGACACACTGTGTATATTCTATTCACTTTAAGAATGATTCTCGGTGATTAGTGGCCAGAAGTTTTCGTACTATATCCCATTCGAAAAAATAAAAGTCGAGTACCGTTCTTAAAGTGAATAGATTAAAGTTTAGGTATTTAGTACTGTACTGTTATATCACTAGGCAACTATCACTACCTTAAAGAGATATTTCGCTTTATCACAAAGGTATACAAGCTTCCATTACTTACGAAACTTAAGACACTCGTAACTGTTTTGTACTTTTGCTGTTTTCGGTACAAACGATCGCCCCTCGTTTTTTCCGAAAAACTCTAGATGGGGGTGCTAAGGACATGGAACCGGATATAGAATGGAAATTAATTTGTGTCTGTAAGCAACGATAATCCGTTGCTTACTAAAAATTATTCTGAGCGGAGTTCAACACTATATATATGTCAAATTATAGTTAAATAATTAAATAGGCATTATATATTTTCTTTAATAATATTTGGTTAATATTGTATCTATTCTCCCAGATTACAGGTTTTTACTATGTTTTCTCATTCATTGGGAAAACTCAGTCAGATTTCCTTTCAGAAAAGTGCTATTAATGTAAATTGGAGCGAAATTGCTGATAAAAAAGTTGTTCACAAAGTAAAAAAAGGTAGTAATATACTTCATTGTTACACAATATACAGCGAATTCCGCTTAATGTGATCACATTGGTTCATGCTATTTTGATTTTATTAACCGGTAAAACATATTTTTTCTTTTTAATGATCGTATATTTATACTTAAAACAAAATAAAGAAGCTAAGTATCTATTTTCGATTCTACTTGAAAATATACTAATTTAATTTTCATATTAGCCTAAAATTTAAATTGTATATTCAATTAATATACAATAAAATCAAAATATATATATAACTATAATAAAACCATACAATACCATAAAAACTATAAGAATGTTCATAAAACTGTTTCAATTATCGGGTACTTAGTGATTCTAATAAAAGATTAATTTAACATTAATAACATAAGATTTGGTTTGATATTTTTATTTTTGATTTCAATAAACGATTGATTCTATAAACCAGTGATTACACGAAGCAGAATTCACTGTAGTACATTTTCCTTTTTTTCCTGGTTTTTTCATTTATTAGGAAAAATCCAGGGAAAATCAAAAAATGACCTTCTAAAGTATCACTCAAGGAAAATTCCCTTTCAGAAAACGTGCTGTACTTGATACTTCATAGTAAAATTTTTGATAGAATTTTTGTATAGTTTACACCTTTGTAAAACAAACACATTCTTGGCTACACTCAGAATCTATAAAAAGAGCTAATACTACTGGTAGGTATGCCTCTGTTACAGGTGGGAAGTTAGGAAGGTAGGATACATAAAGTAATTTAATTTATATCAGTACTAAACAATAAATAATTGGTGACAAAATACTATTCCGAGTGAAGTTCAGCTAAAATGTTTTCGAAATGTCACCATTTTACAATTTTTGTCTAAACATCTAATCTTAAAACGCTAACAAAATAAAAAAATACTAGCTACATTACACAAACATTTCTTTTTGGCCACGAAGTACAACTTGTAATAATTTATTTTAATAATCTCTTATTAAAATCAAAAATTACTAATATAAAATCAAACAATTACTGTTATAATGAACAAACTAGATTCAAAATGCTACAATATATAATGAGATTACTGATAGAGATTGAAGCTACACATACAAGAAAAAAAAATCACTTCACTCATCATAGTGAAACCAATGCATTCCTCAGTAAAAATAATGAATATTACAGTATGTTTTGTTGGTTTATTCTGTATGATTTGTTTTATTTACAAAAACCAGGTTACAGTGCAGAACTATTATACTTACACTTAATAAAATATATTTTTAAAATGTAAAAAATACAAATATAAAATTCAATGAAAAATAAAAAAAAAATTAGCATAATTATTAATTATGATTGATACTTTGATGAGGCATTAAATCCCGGAATCCTGTATTGTGAATCTGTGTAAGAAAAAAAAACAATTAGTTAGTCAAATTTTAACTATTTTTTTTTATAAGAAGTATTTTTCAATGAGCATTACGTGTGAATATTCAACTAACAATTTTAAAGAGACCAATATAAAATATTTTAGATATTTGTGGAGAGTAAATACTTACCATATATAATATATTATTTTATATTAAGGCAAAATAATATTCTACATCTTTTTAGAAAAAATATATATACCTTTAGGCAGGGATAGACAAGATACTTTAAAATTAGGTTTTAGATACTTAATATTAAATACATTTATTTTCATTATCTAGGTTAAAGGTACTAGATGCTTATATTACAAGTATTGTAGACTAGATACTGTATTGCTATTGTATGTATGCAAATAATCCTATAGTAGCTATGTAATCTATTATTTAGTATTATACTTTATATTAGATATTTGATACATTCAAGTTAAATAATTAGGAACATTTTTTGAAATTTCCCAAATTTGTCTAATTTTAGTAGAATAATTATCAATTTTCAATGTACCTATACTTCAAAAAACCAAGGAAAAATGACCCAGCATATTCCTCCTTTGGGCGACTATGAGCAAATTACTTCAAAACGTTCAAAACTTGTATAAAGATACTCAATAATAGATACATTGATTTCAGCAATATGATAATCAATATTTTTCGGAAGTATAGATATCGCTATACAACAATACAAACTACATTATTATAACTAAGATACATATTTAAGATTTAAGATAATTGTATCAAAGATACTGTCAAACTTTATCTATAGGTACTTTAAAAACTATATAATTATTAAAAGTTAAAGTTAATAATGTAGTTATAAGTCACATTAAACAAATTAGAGAGTCAAAATTTAATATTTGTATATACAATTGTATCTAAATTTAACTTCACATATTAAATATGCAATTCAAACCAACAATATAGATGGGGACCACCAATTAATTTCTATGTAGGTCCATTTTAAAGTTTATCAAACATTTTTAAACCCCAAACAGTTTTAATGACTTTTACATACAGTTTAAAAAATTTATATTTATGTATTCTTATTATTATTATTGTAAAAAAAAAACTATTATAAGTTATCTTATTGTTTATAATCAGATTTATGAATGATGTTACTACATTGGTTTCCCCCCATTTATGATTATAGAAATACCGATAATTTTTAATTACTTAAATAATATTTTTGTTGTCATATAAATTATAATATATGACGCACATATAGTTTTCATATTTATATTATACCTATCCAATTATATTGAAAAAGGTTAAAATATTATCCATTTTTTTTTTTTCATAGAAGCGTACAAATTTTGAAATTTGATTTCTGGTTATTATGTAGTTGATAAAAATACCAAAAAAAAAAAAATAAATACATTTTTAAATACTATTTTATTCCAAACCAATTACTAATCAAATAATATACAAACCCCTGAATGATAATACTCTGCAGAGGTGTATCCACTGCAAAGATACTGTAGTTAGGTTTTGAGGCCCTTTGTAGTCTCATTCACATGGACTGCAGGCGCTACCCTTTTCACGCGATTCTAAAAATGATAATAATATTATTTATAATAAGTTATATATAAAGCTAATAATATACATAATAAGCAATGTTTTATAGATATCGTTGCTTACAAGTATATATTCAATTACTTATAACAGTGGCTGCACCCGTTCCCATTATCCTAGGATGTCTTTTGTAATAATAATTGAGCAAAACCGAAAAAATATGGAGTAAGAAAGTGAGAATTTATTTATATCAAATAATGCTTTTATTATTTTCAATTTCGTTTTTTGTTGCAATTCTGTTTAAAATATTTCTAAAGACTTGAAATTTTGATAAAATACTTGTAATTGCTTTTTCTAGTGGTGATTTCAAAACAGTTAAGCTATTTTTGAGCTATTTATAAACTTTTAATTTTTAAATTTTTTTTTACGTAATTTTTATTAAGAGAAAATTAAAAAGTTATATAAAAGGTGCTTGGTATATACTAGCAAGCTTTCTAACAGTAAAGTTGTTCACAGTCACAAAAAAAAAACGCACATACATTATAGTAAAACCAAAACATATCCCTTGCTGTACATCTAAAAAGCATACTTCATAATAAAACCAATGGATCCCTCGATCCCTACACTTTGAAATTTAAATAAATAATAATCTAATGATAGCTCATTACAAAAAGAGAAACTCAGATAAAATTATTTGGTCAGTTATTTCAGTACAATAAATGTACATTAGAATACTATACCTCAGGAATATTATTTAACAACAATTATTATAGAATGCAGATTGTTTACCTAAATAATTTAGGATGGGTTAGTAGGTTACCTATGAATATTTTAATACATTTTTTATTTCGGATCTTTGTACAGAAAGGTTCGATTTCACACTTAGGTACTATAGTAAAATATAATAATTTATAACCACAAGTCATAAATTAAATTAATTTATAAGTAAGTTATTTCAAACAAGTACACTTACCCCAATACAAAGATTCTATAGTAGGTACATTATACATTTTGTTTGTAGTAGTTGTAATGGTAGTTGGAATTGTAGTTGTAGATGTTTGTATGGTTTTCATGGTCAAGGGGGAAGGTTGTGTGGTCGTTTTGAAATTCGGCTGCTCATTAATGCTTGGGCCTATAAATTGTATATATTATTAATAATATGATGTTTATTAGTTATTTCAAACAGGTATACTTACCCGAATACGAAGATTCTATATTAGTAGTTGTATTTGAGTTCGAAAGTTGTGTGGTAGTATTAAAATTCGGCTGTATATTTTTAACTATAGGCAGTTCTGAAGGTCTACTATAGCTGCGATAAATTGTCAAAGTGTTTTTAGTAGTGTCCGCTCTATAAATAATTGTTATATAATATTAGATAAATAACTATAGGTATGTGACAAGATGGATTAATAAGATGTAATCACTTTCTTCCACCCACCTAAGATAAATGTATTAAAAACATTACTGCAGTTATAATTACAGCTAGGTTCGCTCCTACCCAATAGAGGACCAGAAATGTTACTATTTGTATGTATTTTAATTAATGGTAATATAATATGACTAAAATTGTATAGAAGTTTTCTATTTTTTTTTCTTATTGTTAAAGTGCATTTGAAATGATACGCCTAAATATTAAATATAATATGGATACAATATCTATCTACTTGGAATGTGTTAATAGTGAACTATTGCTTGAGCAATTTAATATGAATATATGATTATTATAAGAAGGTATTACTCGTAATTAATTTTGGTAATAGTTAATAATAATTATATTATTAAGTATATTTTATTAGTCTATAAAAGTATGTTTTAAACCAATTAATAGTGAGAAAATTATAGAACCAGTAGGTTAAATTAAATATTGTAATTATTTTTATAAAAATGGCTTATCAAACCATGTACTAAAAAAATGGTCTAAATCAATCTCTATTAACTAGTAAATATCCTTCTAATTTTAAACAAAATGTATTGCAATTTCTTTATTCATTGCCGGCAATGTAGCCCCAAAATTGCGTTTTATTCTTAATTTCCCAAAATTGATTAATAGTAAAATTGGCCCTTCTTGACTCAAACCCTAGAATTATAAGTTATGTGCAACGTTATTGTTTCAATAAAGATTATTATTATTTCAACTGCGTATTTAAATTTCATTTGGTGCCACTGTGGTAATTACGTTAAAATATTTCAAGATCTTAATATTAAAATAATTTAAATTTGATTATCATATAACCATGTGAATATTATTATAAATGGCTGAAAAAAATACCTGAGTGAATTAATACAATAGTTCTCCAATACATGTAATGGAGTGCATCCATTTATGCAACAATCTGTTGCTATTCCTTTTCCTTTGGGTTTATTCCTAAATTGCTCAGCTGAAATCATATACATTTTAAAAAAAATTTAAAAAGATATATATAACATTGAACAATTCTTTCATTTTATAATAATGTGTTTAATTAATTTAACAAATAGTTGGTAATCTTATAGACTCACGGATTTTGTCATCTTCGTTATGATGAGGACAAATGGACCACACCAAATCCGGTAAAACTTTACCGCAAAACTTTTGCGGCTCCGTCCAGGAAACAATTATCTGCCCTTCATAAGATTGTTCAGCAAAAGCTGTGCTTACGACAACCATTAACATCAAAACGAATAATAATTGCATCGTAACTGAAATGCACACACACATAAATATATACTTACATACATTCATACATATGACTGTAGGGCCTGGATTTAAATGCACTAAAAATCATCCGAAAATGCTCTTAAAAGTAGGTAAAAATGATCTTAAAAAATGGCATAATTTTTAATTTTTTATGTTTAATTAGGTAATTTTTAATATTTTTAATAAAATATTAAAAAAAAAAAAAAACAGAAATAAAATTTTTTTATTTGTAACTAGCAATGATAGTATTTGCTAAGAGAATGTATTTGACTAATTGACTGAAAAACCAAAAAAACATGAGTAATATTTTGAATTAGCTAAATTTAAATTACTAAGGTGATGGTCGTATTATGTACAAATACTATATAATATTAAACTCTTATATTGTACAAATATGCAATAAAACAAAAAAATATTGATGAATTATAAAACAAAAAATGCTTTAAAAACGAAAAATATTGAAAAATTTCAAAAAAAAAAACCAAAATAAAGTTGAAGTCTGTTACATAAGGCAAATTATGTAATTGGAAAGAGTTGTCTAATATCAATCAAAAAAAGATGCATTTTGCGTTGAAAACCAAGCCATACATATGAGTATAGATTTGTACACATTTTATATTAATTTTTTTCATAATTTGACAATATATTAGATATTGGATGCGTCGAAATATTTGTCTATACCTAAAGGTATTACAATGGGTACTATGAATTAGTTCTTTAAAGACTAAGTGACGTATATAATACCACAGTCAGTAAATTGTGATCCAAACCAAGGTCATAGTCATATACTGTGTAAATTGCGGCATAGGTATATTTTGTATAATATATTATGCTAAAATATTTTTTATTCATACGTAAATTATGTCTAAGACTTATATGCAAAATTAATATTTTCAGACTTAGGATTTAATAATATTTTAGCAATTTGTAAAAATAATATTTAAATCCATCAACCACTTTCAACGTATTATTCCTTTCGCTTTTCATAACGTACATTTTTATTCAACTGAAAAAAAATACGTTATCTTACAAATTTCTAATAATACATTTTTTACTTGATATATTTTAGTATTAATTGTTGGTAAAACATTTTTTAATTATAAACAAAAACCAGCAAAACCAATATTTTTAATTATACCAATATTAATACAACTATATAGTCAATCCTAAATTTGAAAAATGGAAAGGAAAATATTGATTTTGTAAAAAAAGTCTTAGACATAATAAGAATATAAATATTTAAGCATATATTCAAGATATACTCGGACATCAATTTAAGTATGTATAAAATATACTCGGGCCACAATTTACTTATATGTATAAAATATACCCGGGTGGTAATTTATAAAAAAAATAAAAAATGAGACACAATTTATAACGACCCGAGTTACAGGTACGGTGTAAACACGTTAAAATATTTAGGCGTATCTATACCAATACTTATTCGGTATCTAATGATAAAAATACCATATAAATAATAAAAATATTACAAAACACAAACCTTTGACTTGACAGCGGAGTAGTATGCAGGAACCAGCAATAATATAGATAATATAGCCAAACACGTTAGTGTACACTATTCTGTTTGATGAGACGTCGATAAATAATGCATTTTTGGGGATCACATACCTCTGTGTCTTGCAACGTATATATGCATACCGAAGATGTACAAAAGGTTTGGTGGGAGAAAGGAATTTTTACCTGGAGATTTAATAGCATCGTAATACCTACCTAGGATTGGTAGGCACCTCCCTAATGGGCCGTGCGACGATGCCGATTCTCCATGGTTTCGGTTCGATTAGGTATGAACAATGAACAGTGGCATAGCAAGGTGAATTTAATAAATATTATTATGAATTATGAAGGATTTAAATTTTGTTAACGGAAAATGATTTTATGGGTTATTTACTAAGAGCTATTGGAGATATATAATTGTTACCATTTACTGGTAATAGTGAAAAAAATATAATTGTATTATAATTTTTACTTTAAATAATTATAATAAAGACAATTAAAATTTAACAAAAAAATTCTAACGTAAAAATAATTAAAATCATAAATCACAATATATTTAAGGTTTGGAGCTCCTAATCTATTGGCTTTACTATATTATTGTATTATTTATTAATTTTGTATCTGCAAACAACTTTTCTACCAGAAATTTAGCTTCAAAGTATATAGTATATTACCACTTCTGAAAGGAAATTTTATCTAATTGGTGCATTAGAGAGGTTATATTTTAATTTTCTAGGGCGTTTTTAAAATAATTGGGAAAGACCCGAAAAAAAATTAAAGGCAAAACGGTAAATATTTACGGCACACCATAACATTACCGATTTAATTGTATTTAATTTTTATAACTTATATTTTCTACCAGAAATAATAATCCAATTGCAAAACGACAAGATATCGATTCTATTCCATATAATATCTAGTCACTGACAGAGAAAGTTTTTTTTTGATATTTAAAGTAGTTTTTAAAACAATTGAGAAAAACTAAAAAAGACGAATTTTTGCAAATTACGGCGTAACAGATTCATTATTTAAAATTTTTAAAATAAACACCTTTGTCTAAATTTCACGAATAGTATACTATCTGAAGAAAAATTGTTTTGTTTATGAGTAAAAAAGACGTTTGAATTTCTGTATAGTTTTACTAATAATTACGAAAACCTGGAAAACACGTAGGAAATACGGCAAAGTGTACTTTTAGGTTAATTTTTTAATTCAACATTTTGTAGAAACCTGTCATTTTCACAACATTTTTATATTGGTTATTTGTAAACGTAGTAAAATTATAAAAACATTCTATTTATTATTAGAGTATTTATAGGTATATTGATTTGTATATACTTGGTTTGTATAGGTTTGTATATTTATATGTACTTATTAAATTTAACAGAAATATTGACAATAATCATTATTAAATTAAAAGATATTATAATTAATACATTATTCTGAATAAAAATGAAATTATCTACAACATTATCAACAGATTGAATTCTCGTCATTTCATATATCAAGTGTGAAATATGTCCCATTAACCTCGGTTGACGATAAAATCTTTTTCAGCTACTACTAATCAATTTTGAGCCTAACCTCCACATATTAAATTTGAAAATCTTCAAATGTGTAGCTATTGATTCCAAGAGGACAACGATGAAGATGTACAAACATAATAAAAACGATTAATAATATTATAATAAACCTATATCTACAGTACTTTTTTATATGATAGGTATTTTAAAAAGCGGTGATATTGCTAATGGTACTTGATGACACTTATGTGTATATATGTATGCATCTGAGTGAAAATTATTTGAGATATATTTTAATGGTCAAAATTATATTTATTTTTTTTGGTAACTCAATTCATGTGGTCCATGATAGTTAGGTACGTAATATACTATTTTGGTTTATACGACACGTCATCATCAATAATTTTGCTTACTAATTCTCCGTCACGCACAACTGCACTATACACAATATTAACATTAAATATTATAATTCTGCATTATTCAAACAATTCAATAATGACACCCATCGATAAGTATGCACCTAATAGATTTCCATATAAAAATTAATTTGTATAATCTTGTTTTTTTTTTGTGACAATATTATTGTTATTAATTAGCGTATCAGAGCACTAGTTGCCATATTATCACTAAAAACCGGTTAACACGTCATCAAATTATTCGAGGTTCGCGAATCGGACGAGCAGCACCAATTCATGCATATAATTCGGTACTCGAGTGTTTAGCCGCATGTATCTTTAAGTATAGGAATGTTAAATATTTGATTAGTACTACCAATATCTATATTTCATACTTATATAATAAATGCGATATTTTGGGTTCGACAATCGAATTACTTTTGTTAATTTATAGGTTACTTTAGTAATACAGATGCGATTAAAAAAAAGTTAAAACAAACAAAACAAAAAAGATAAGGACATGCTTTGTAAAATGGGTGGGCCACTGTTTTAGGTGAGAAGTTGGAAAGGTAGAAGGGAAATATTTTAATGTATATCAGGGGTGGCTAAACGTCGGGGTGGTCGATTGCGATCGACCAGTAGACCGCTGACGATTTAAATGTCGATCTCCCTTTTGTTTGAATTTATTTTTGTATAATTGGTTGACAAATATTAATTGCTGATCAATTTTATCTTAATTTATTATCATTATTTTTTTTGTAAATTTATCAAGTGATAAATAGATAAATTTACAAAGCAACAGCGTGTATTCTGGAAATTGTGTTTACAATAATATTATATTAGTCTTAAACTCTTAATAACTCTTAACTATATATTCTAGATTTATTATTTGTAAATGACGTATGTTTATTATTAATACCTATTAGGTAATTTATAATTATAGATTTTTGTTAAAAAGTCCATCCTCAACGAATAAATATACTAGTAGATAATAGTAGATTTCTATCAAACGAAAGTGACCACTCCTGATGTAGATATATCTATACACAATGAATAAACACTGCTAAAAAAAACGGTTCTGAGCGGAGTTCGGTTAATAGTCTTCCTTTGTCAACAATATATATTATGTTATATTATGGTAAAATAATAACATATTTTCTTTAATGATATTTGTTTAATACTGTATTTATTTTCCCGTTTTCCGATTTATTGAGAAAACTCCTGGGAAAACCAAAAAATAACCTCTTTAAAGTACCTCCCCAGTTAGATTTCTTTTCAGAAAAAGTACTATCATTGTAAATCGGAGCGAAATTGCTGTTAGAAAAGTTGTTCACAGATAAAAAAAAATGTTTAAAATAAAAGACATCGTTGTAAAACCAATACATTCCTTGCTTCGCTCAGAATCTTAAATAAATAATGAGGTAGTCTATGTAAAGGCTGTAATTGTATAATAATAATTTTTCTGTTAATTCTTATTGCACGAACAACGCCGGAAAGAGGGAAGCTAGTAGGACTATAAGAATTAAAAAATAAATAGTCCACA